AGTTTAACGGTGAATATTATTTATGATTTTAACTTTATACACAAGTGCCAAAATACTATAATTAGTTCTTATTATACTTTTAAGCAAGGTGTCTAACTCCCTGCTTGGTGAGCAATACATACCCACTATTGTTAGATTACTCATATTTGTAAACGTTACATTGATCGCTGCACTTTCATTTTGGGGTTTGTGTATTGAGTTGTGTCACTACTAACGATGATTTATAATAAAATAAATGATATAAGAACGCTATACCTCCGATAAGGTCATTTTTACTTTTTCTATCTCTTCTTATGGTAGAGTAACCACAATATTTTAAATTATTATTTGTTGTGATAAGGGACTCGGTTAAGAATGAAAGACTTGCATTAGTATAGGCTATGATGTCTTCGATCTGGTGTCTCTTGGAAGTAAGTCCACCTTGGATTTTCAAATGCAGATCAGGGAATTTATGTGATGAATGAGCCCACGATTGTTTGTATAAGGTAAGATAAAAGTGGTGTTAGGTGTTTTTTTGCCAAATTGATTATCACGGTTATGACATCTTGTGTATTGTTCGGATTTTTGTATTCTACAATGAATTCGGTGAATATGTTTTTAACTGCTTGCGTGAATGTATTTTCGTTATCTATGCTTACCGAAGCGTTGTTTGCTTAATTTTTCTTTTAGTGTATGTTTTTCGTTGTTATCTTGAGTTCATTTTTGTTGTTGTTTTGATTGTTCTGTGATTGAGTTAGTTTATTGTTCTTTAGTTTGTGTGCTTTAACTGTTTTGTGCATCTTTTTGTAGTTAGCTGTATGTTCTTCATTGCAATTACAGCAGTGTGATGTTTCCTTTTTGCATTATGTTATTTTGTGGTCTCTCCCACATCTCACGCAGCGTGGGAGTGATTTACATGCCGCGGCAATGTACCCATAACGCTGGCCATTGAAGCATTGTGTTACCAGCTCGCCCGGTATTTTTGCTTGCTGGACAGGAAATCGGTGGTACCAGAGGTTAACATCAGTCAATATCAAGCCACTGATATCTACGTCTATTTTAATTAAGTTGGTCGGTTTTTGTTGATTTTCTACTTTTGTGTACAAATTGTTTATAATGTTTGTGTTATTTAGTTCCTTTTTAATATCTTCTATTGCGATTTGTTGGTTAACGTTTCTTGTTACGATAGCTTGAACTTATGGCTCTTCTTCTTCTCTCAAAAATCGGTATTTTGGTCGTTTGATGGACCAGGGAAGGTCAGGTTTATTGTGACCTCTTCCTCCTTTCCGAACTGTGATTTACTATCGGTGAATGTTGGTGTTGATACAACATGAGGATCGGGGTAAACCGCACTTGCTCCGACCCCTTTCAGGTCAATGTCCATGTATGTATCTACAGTTACATTCTGTGTTTTGCGATATATCTCTAGAGTCAGTTCCATAATGCACACAACACATTTCACTAGGTAGAGACTAATCAAATGCATTTTACATAAAATACCCTATTAAATGTATTGTTCTTAGGTTATAACTAGTGTAGGGTTTTTAAAGTCTAGTAATAGGTGGCATTTATAAAGTATATGTTTACAGGTGAGAGGTACTTAGGTCTACTTCCACCATGTATGTAGTAGCGATCAAGTTCACAGAGTGGGTCATTCTTTTGCCAATTTTTTGCAAAGTAATTTATAGTATTATGTAAGAGTCTATCGACTATTGTTTGCATGTCTGTGCATAAATGTTAATGAGGTACTGCGAGGGATTTTATATGCTGTGGTGATAAGTGAGTTTTGTACAGATTTTAGCTTATTTATGTGTTTGATAGCTATGTTTATCCATGCAGGGCTGGCGTATTCTATTACGGGGCGTAT